TGACACTTCCTAGGGACAGGATGACACTTCCTAGGGGCAGAATGACCCTTCCTAGGGACAGGATGACACTTCCTAGGGGCGGGATGACACTTCCTAAGGACAGGATGACCCTTCCTAGGGCAGGATGACACTCCCTAGAGGCAGGATGACACTCCCTAGAGGCAGGATGACACTCCCTAGAGGCAGGATGACACTCCCTAGAGGCAGGATGACACTCCCTAGAGGCAGGATGACACTCCCTAGAGGCAGGATGACACTCCCTAGAGGCAGGATGACACTCCCTAGAGGCAGGATGACACTCCCTAGAGGCAGGATGACACTCCCTAGAGGCAGGATGACACTCCCTAGAGGCAGGATGACACTCCCTAGAGGCAGGATGACACTCCCTAGAGGCAGGATGACACTCCCTAGAGGCAGGATGACACTCCCTAGAGGCAGGATGACACTCCCTAGAGGCAGGATGACACTCCCTAGAGGCAGGATGACACTCCCTAGAGGCAGGATGACACTCCCTAGAGGCAGGATGACACTCCCTAGAGGCAGGATGACACTCCCTAGAGGCAGGATGACACTCCCTAGAGGCAGGATGACACTCCCTAGAGGCAGGATGACACTCCCTAGAGGCAGGATGACACTCCCTAGAGGCAGGATGACACTCCCTAGAGGCAGGATGACACTCCCTAGAGGCAGGATGACACTCCCTAGAGGCAGGATGACACTCCCTAGAGGCAGGATGACACTCCCTAGAGGCAGGATGACACTCCCTAGAGGCAGGATGACACTCCCTAGAGGCAGGATGACACTCCCTAGAGGCAGGATGACACTCCCTAGAGGCAGGATGACACTCCCTAGAGGCAGGATGACACTCCCTAGAGGCAGGATGACACTCCCTAGAGGCAGGATGACACTCCCTAGAGGCAGGATGACACTCCCTAGAGGCAGGATGACACTCCCTAGAGGCAGGATGACACTCCCTAGAGGCAGGATGACACTCCCTAGAGGCAGGATGACACTCCCTAGAGGCAGGATGACACTCCCTAGAGGCAGGATGACACTCCCTAGAGGCAGGATGACACTCCCTAGAGGCAGGATGACACTCCCTAGAGGCAGGATGACACTCCCTAGAGGCAGGATGACACTCCCTAGAGGCAGGATGACACTCCCTAGAGGCAGGATGACACTCCCTAGAGGCAGGATGACACTCCCTAGAGGCAGGATGACACTCCCTAGAGGCAGGATGACACTCCCTAGAGGCAGGATGACACTCCCTAGAGGCAGGATGACACTCCCTAGAGGCAGGATGACACTCCCTAGAGGCAGGATGACACTCCCTAGAGGCAGGATGACACTCCCTAGAGGCAGGATGACACTCCCTAGAGGCAGGATGACACTCCCTAGAGGCAGGATGACACTCCCTAGAGGCAGGATGACACTCCCTAGAGGCAGGATGACACTCCCTAGAGGCAGGATGACACTCCCTAGAGGCAGGATGACACTCCCTAGAGGCAGGATGACACTCCCTAGAGGCAGGATGACACTCCCTAGAGGCAGGATGACACTCCCTAGAGGCAGGATGACACTCCCTAGAGGCAGGATGACACTCCCTAGAGGCAGGATGACACTCCCTAGAGGCAGGATGACACTCCCTAGAGGCAGGATGACACTCCCTAGAGGCAGGATGACACTCCCTAGAGGCAGGATGACACTCCCTAGAGGCAGGATGACACTCCCTAGAGGCAGGATGACACTCCCTAGAGGCAGGATGACACTCCCTAGAGGCAGGATGACACTCCCTAGAGGCAGGATGACACTCCCTAGAGGCAGGATGACACTCCCTAGAGGCAGGATGACACTCCCTAGAGGCAGGATGACACTCCCTAGAGGCAGGATGACACTCCCTAGAGGCAGGATGACACTCCCTAGAGGCAGGATGACACTCCCTAGAGGCAGGATGACACTCCCTAGAGGCAGGATGACACTCCCTAGAGGCAGGATGACACTCCCTAGAGGCAGGATGACACTCCCTAGAGGCAGGATGACACTCCCTAGAGGCAGGATGACACTCCCTAGAGGCAGGATGACACTCCCTAGAGGCAGGATGACACTCCCTAGAGGCAGGATGACACTCCCTAGAGGCAGGATGACACTCCCTAGAGGCAGGATGACACTCCCTAGAGGCAGGATGACACTCCCTAGAGGCAGGATGACACTCCCTAGAGGCAGGATGACACTCCCTAGAGGCAGGATGACACTCCCTAGAGGCAGGATGACACTCCCTAGAGGCAGGATGACACTCCCTAGAGGCAGGATGACACTCCCTAGAGGCAGGATGACACTCCCTAGAGGCAGGATGACACTCCCTAGAGGCAGGATGACACTCCCTAGAGGCAGGATGACACTCCCTAGAGGCAGGATGACACTCCCTAGAGGCAGGATGACACTCCCTAGAGGCAGGATGACACTCCCTAGAGGCAGGATGACACTCCCTAGAGGCAGGATGACACTCCCTAGAGGCAGGATGACACTCCCTAGAGGCAGGATGACACTCCCTAGAGGCAGGATGACACTCCCTAGAGGCAGGATGACACTCCCTAGAGGCAGGATGACACTCCCTAGAGGCAGGATGACACTCCCTAGAGGCAGGATGACACTCCCTAGAGGCAGGATGACACTCCCTAGAGGCAGGATGACACTCCCTAGAGGCAGGATGACACTCCCTAGAGGCAGGATGACACTCCCTAGAGGCAGGATGACACTCCCTAGAGGCAGGATGACACTCCCTAGAGGCAGGATGACACTCCCTAGAGGCAGGATGACACTTCCTAGGGGCAGGATGACACTTCCTAAGGACAGGATGACCCTTCCTAGGGTCAGGATGACACTTACTAGGGACAGGATGACACTTCCTAGGGACGGGATGACACTTCCTAGGGGCAGGATGATAATTCCTAGGGGCAGG